TTTGTTCTTCATATTTGATTGTACCACTGTGCGCCAGTACCTACGTCGTTCACTGTACTGTTTGTACTGTAGGTGTACTCTACATGGACAGAGTACACCTTCAAGCGCACCCTACACCTAATCCAACTGCATCAACTTCGATGCTGGTGACCTCAGGGGGCACGCCACTTATCTCCGATCGAACATTGTTTTGAATGCACTTCGCTAATTACAATGTAACTTCATAACGCATGATGTTTGTACTGCCAAAGACCTCGACCGCATGTAAATGAGGCTAACTGCATGTCGCGCGCTCCTTGAAGCCGCCTTAAATAATACTATCAATAACTTCTGACATTTTATGTGCCCTGATTCAAACTCTTACACTACTTAACTTTGACATTTTATTTGCCCTGATTAACAAAGAATTTTCGACACTGCAACTTTCACGTCGAGATAATTTGAACTTCGCCAGATATGGTCGATTGACAGTGAATGGAGCTCAAAATCGGCAAATCACAGATCCGTCACGTTACCGGTAGAATGGTTGTTGTCATAACAGGTCCCGGTGCTCGCTGGAGGCGATGCCCCTCACCTTTGACGCCTACGTAGTGAACAATGCTGCAGTGCATCGCTCAGTAGTACTACCACCAACAATCTTTTTCTCCGGCTATGTCTGTAGTAGACACCCTGAATGCCGCTTGCGGAAGTGACTTGAAGCACACACTGACTGTGAACACGGATCTGCGCTGCACGACGCGACGAGTGTCCTCAAGCAACGCGGCCACACACTTGGATGGGACTTCGTTGGATACTATTATAGTAATCTCTATCAGCAAACGTGTTGCCATGTCAAATATTCGGACTTCATCGCGATCCAACTCCAAGGTTGTTTTTTCATGTCATGGTAATGCACAAAGAGGACTTGACGACGATCCATGAACGTTGGAAAATGCGCCGATCTTAAGGTTGGTTTCGAAATTGGAGTCACTACAGTACTATTAATACTAGCAGTACTTACTGATCTCCCCCCAACTTTGGAACAGGGACAAAAATGAATTTTCCACAGTTTATTAGAATTGACAGTTATTACTTTTCACGCAAGGTTGGCAACATCCAATCGATTGCTCAACACAAACAGCTCGCTGTCGAGGATGCCAGTTCGTCCCCAGCAGTTCGAGATCGTCGCTGGCGAAACCGACCGCCTTGCTTCTTTCGCTCATGACATGGCCTCGACAAGTGGTACCTCGTAAAGTCCACTCTGTCGCGCGTTCCATCACCATGCTGATCTGATCCAATGCATTTTGTAGCTGGCGCTGCTTCAGCTTGGCCTTAAACGAGGCAATAGGGAGATTTCGGAGATGACTTCTCCTTTTCTTTTTCCGTAAAAATTGAAAGCAAAGTAAAAGCGAGGGATTTTATATCGACGATTTCGGTGATACTAGTAACAAGTTTTCCCTATCCGTAGACTAGATGGAGCCAAATTCGTGGACTTCGTGGATGATCGGCGAGGTCACTGTGAAGTCGTCCCATGGGTCATTCGCCGTTGAAGCGTTGTGGCTAGTAGGGATGACAGAGGCATAGGCATACGAAGCATTGAATTCATTGAGACTCATATTGTGTTAGTTTAGTTGTTCTACTATCTGTACGACGTTCGGAAATGCGTAGCTACGAAGGAGTGGCTTGCACCTAAAGTAGCACGCCTCGACAAAGCGCCAGCTGCAGATGAGTGCTTCTATACTAGTACTTATCTGGTTCTTTTAAGATATCGTTGATATGCGCTGGTACAACTCCTGTCGGATGTAC